AAAAAAATCTCCTGCCTTGTGAACCAGTAGTACTAGTACCCGTGTTTCCTCCAGTCTAGTTGCTGTGTATAACGATCATGTGCAGGACCTAAAGGTGATGGTTGGTCATGTATGACCGCGACTCTGTGTCGTGATCGTGATTGATTATTAGTGTTGTATTGTTGATCAGTACATTGCTGATTATCTGCTGATTGATTATTATTTAGTCGGTTATAATTTTGTCGAAAAGTTGCTTGTGAATAATTCTGTCGTTGATGACCAGTTTGTTGGTTAAAACGTGGTGCATTGAATCTTAATGGACTATTATTTGATGGATTATATGATGAATTCCACCGATTAAAACGAAATTTTATGCATTTCTGTATAATAATTACGTATTGTTTGATTTTGTCCTTGATTATATGATTCAAGTTTATTGAAAGATAATTCAGCTTGATACGAGGATGTGAAGGCTTTTTTAATTTCATCGACAAAACTTTTCCATGATGTTATTTTAATTTTATTATCATTAAACCATTGTTTTGCTTCTGCTTTTAGATGACATGATATTATGCTAAACCTATTTGTATCTGGAATATCAGCGCTTTCAAATTGGTTTTCTAGTTCTTCTAACCATTTTCGTACATCTTCTTTACCACCGGTAAATGTTTTTGGGTTCTTGATCATATTTTCCATGATAGCTTTTCGTAAATCAATGGTCGTTTGATCCAAAGAATTAGTAGTGTTATTTGTTGTTGACGTTGATGATAATAACGCTATAGGTGTAATAGCCGATGATGTGATTGATGCCAAAGGTAACTCTTTTTGAAGATAGTACTGGTAGCTCGCCACTGGCGGCACCATTTTCATCTGACAATGTTGAAGTTGCTGTGATTGCTGGTATCATTGTATTAGGAGTACAATTTTTACTTGTCATCGTAGACGTTATTACTGGTATCTCGCCATTGGCTGCATCAAAATAAGCAGTACTACGATGAGACGGTAAAAATTGAGTGTTTGAGAACATCGTCTGATGGATTTGGTGGTTATCAGGTAAAGTAGGACGATGACGTGTATGATGATCTTCTTGTATACTTTTATTCTGAGTATTTGCTCTTTCAGTTTGATTATAAGATGTTATAGCCGATGAAGAGAAAAAATCATTATAATGTTGTAAAAGAAGTTCGTAAAAATCATCGAATGATGAAATTTGACGTCTTTGATTAATATACCACCTTTTTGCTTGATTTTCAACTAAAAGGGGAATGGCTTCAAATCGTAGAGAACGACTTAGCTGATATTGTTTAAATTTATTTTCTGTTATACTTAACCACTCATTTGCATTCTGAGTACCATTAAATGGTTCAAACGTTTGCATAATAAAGTTATCGAAATCGTTATCTTGTTGAGTTTTATTGTTGCGGTTTTTATTACTATTTGATATGGTTTCCTTTGTACTTGATTCATTTGATGATGATGATGCTCCGTCTTCTTCATCGTCCCCGTCTTTTTGATCTATTTGTCTTGTATTATCATCTTCTTTTGCAATCATTGGTTTTGGTAGTGGTGGTTTTTGTGATTGACCTTGTTTTGCAACTGTAGCTGCTTGTTTGTCTACCGGTGGCTGTAATTGTGTTGAGTATTCTGGATTATTAACACTGTCAGTCTGTGCTGTTGCGTCTCCTGTTTTTAAGATTGTTAAATTCGTTACCGTGGAAGTCGTATCAGTCATTATCGTTTGTTGGTGTTTATTTAATTCTGGTCTTATTGCTTTTCGTCGATTTGGATTATAATCTGGTAATTCTGATTGCTTTTCTTTCAATGTATGTGTATGGCTATTGGGTTTTGCTTGTTTAGTGTTAATAGGTGTATAGGGTGTACTTAACTTATTGGGTTGTTGCTGTCTATTTCGTACATGTATAAATTATCATGTCTTTTTAATTATAATTATAAATCTGATGTTAATTAATGTCAAAATTAATGAAAAAAAA